CCTCGAGCATGCAAGGCAAGCGCTCTACCACTGAGCCACCTTCCCAGCCCCTGACCATGTACTTTTATTTGCATTGACAAATGTGTAGCTTCCAGGTTTTGTTAATATGCCATATGGGAAAGCGATTAATAGAAAATACTTTGGCTCCTAAAATGTCACAAAGTCTTGATTGACTTGTTTTGGGTGTTGGTTTACTTTGCTGTTCTCACTGTCTTCTTCTGGCATTGTGTTAAAAGCATTAAGTGTAATTATAACAGCTTATTTTTATTCTAATTTCATATTTTACTATTGAATATAGATCAATACTTATTTCAGTTGTATGTTTTTATCTTGATAATCTATAAAATACATTGAAGTAATATTAGATGACTATTCTTACGATAGACAGAGGATAGGCAAATTACTAGTGTTGTTTTGTTCTAATGTGTTACATTGGAGGCTGAATAGCGTAGAAATGAAGAACATAAAGCTGGGTATTAGTGGCTCACACTTGTAATCCTAGCTAGCTACTTACGATGCTGAGAACTAAGAATCACAGCTTGAAGCTAGTCTAGCAAGAAATCCTTTTTTTCTCTTTACTTTATATATTTTTTATTGTAAAAATACTGTACAGAAGGGTTACCGCTACATGAGTAGGTAATGAGTACATTTCCTATCGAGCATTGTTACCTCCTCTGTTTTTCCCCTACCATCCCTTAGCAAGAAATTCTTGTAGGAAAAAAAAAAAAAAGAAATTCTTGTAGGACTCTTATCTCCAATTAATCACCAAAAGCCAGAGTAGAGCTGTAGTTCAAGTGGTGGAGTGCTAACCTTAAGAAAAAAAGCTTTAGGGACAGTACCTGGCCTTGAGTTCAAAGAAAAAAAAGTAAAAGAAATGAAGAACATGAACACTGGATTTGTGCAACCACTTGGATACCCAGAATTATTCTTAAACCTAAGAACCTTTACAATATTAATACCCTCATTATGTTTTTCTTCTTCTGTTTCCCCCACTAAGGACAGTGTCTTGTTATGTAACCCAAGCTGTCCTTGAACTCACAATCCTATTTCCTTCACCTCCTTAGTAGTGAGACTATAGGCATTTACCAACATGCCATACATTCTTCTACTTTGATGCTTCTTTGAATTTGAAGGTAATCTTATGTTTCTGAACTTCCATATGTGGTATTTGGCATTTTCAGTATCTAATACATTCTGTGGGGACATGTTAAAGTTTTCCTGCCCTGCACTATGCTGACAACTTTCATAGAGAGTTCTATGTCTGAACTTTATTACACTTAAGTGCCTATTACAAAACCTTTAGGCACTGATTTACTTAGAATATATTTCATACAATACATTATCCTTAGGAGCAGTTCTTTAACCTGTGTGGACAGACATTCAGGAAACTGTAGCCATTAATCTTAGATCTAACTTTTTTTTTTCAATGGTTAGGAGTTTTGATTTTGTTTTTGAGACAGGATTTCACTATGTTACCCAGGTTGTAATTTTTCTGTCTGAGTAGTTAGCATTTCAAATATGCCTCTATAGCCCAGCTTTTACATCATCATCATCATCATCATTTTATTTTTGATGCTACTGGTGTTTGCTGGCATTGTACCACTTGAACTACATCCCTTGCCTTTTTTTTCTTTTCTTTTCTTTTGGTCATGGGGCTTGAACTCTGGGCCTGGGCACTGTCCCTGGCTCTTCAGCTCAAGGCAAGTGCTGTACCACTTCCAGTTTTCTGGTGGTTTATTGGAAATGAATGTGTCACGGACTTTCCTGCTCAGACTGAACCATTATCCTCAGATCTCAGCCTCCTAAAGGAGCGAGGATTACAGGTGTGAGCTACTGGCACTAGGCTCCCTTGCCTTTTTTGTTTCAGTTATTTTGAATAGGGTCTCAGGTTTTTACTAGGGCCAGTCTGAACTTCATGATCTACCTTTGCTTCTCATGTAACTGGCATGTTGGGTGTATATCACTGTACCTAGCCTTTTTGTTGGTATGGAGGTCTTCCTAACTTTTTGCTTGAATTGGCCTGAACTTCAGTCCTCCCAATCTCTGCCTCTGCCTGACGTTACAGGTGTGAGCCATCATTTAGCCTTTATTTTCTTTTAAGGGATGCATATATTTATTTCTCAAGTTATTTTTTTTATTTTTTTTTGGTCCGGTCGTGGGGTCTGAACTCTGGGCCTGGGCGTTGTCCCTCAGCTCTTCAGCTCAAGGCTAGCGATCTACCACATGAGCCACAGCACCACTTCCGGCTCTTTTCTTTTTTGCTTATGTGGTGCTGAGGAATTGAACCCAGGGCCTCAGGCATGCAAGGCAAGTGCTCTACCACTGAGCCACCTTCCCAGCCCCAAAATCAAGTAATTCTTTTTTTTTTTTTTTTGGGTCCGGTCGTGGGGCCTGAATTCTGGGCCTGGGCGCTGTCCCTCAGCTCTTCAGCTCAAGCTAGTGCTCTACCACTTGAGCCACAGCGTCACTTCCGGCTTTTTTCTTTTTGCTTATGTAGTGCTGAGGAATCGAACCCAGGGCCTCAGGCATGCAAGGCAAGCCCTCTACTACTGAGCCACCTTCCCAGCCCCTATTTCTCTAGTTATTAAAACAGAAATAATGCTAGGCACTGGTGGTTCATGCCTGTAATCCTAGCTACTCAGGAGGCTGAGAATTGAGAATTGTGCTTCAAAGCCAGCCCAGGCAGGAAAGTCTGAAACTCTTATCTCTAATTAACCACCAGAAAACCAGAAGTGGTGCTGTGGTTCAAATGGTAGAGCACTTGCCTTGAGCTGAAGAGTTCAGGGACAGCATCTAGGCCCAGCATTCAAGCCTCATGATCGACAAAAAAATAAAAAAATGAAATATTTATGTAAAGAGTAAAATTGAGGGAAGAAGATAAGATATATGAGGGGCTGGGAAGGTGGCTCAATGGTAGAGCACTTGCCTTGCATGCCTGAAGCCCTGGGTTCGATTCCTCAGCACCACATAAGCAAAAAGAAAAAAGCCGGAAGTGGTGCTGTAGCTCAAGTGGTAGAGCGCTTGCCTTGAGCTGAAGAGCTGAGGGACAGCGCCCAGGCCCAGAGTTCAAGCCCCACAGCCGACAAAAAAAAAAAAAAAGTTCATCTTGCTTTGAGTTTAATTTTCTCTTTTGGTTTTTCAAGTAGCAAATACATATTGATACCTTTGGTTTTTTTTTTCTGATATTTAAAACTAAATTTCCTTTTAAGCCTTGCCTAAAATCAGTATTAGACTAAAAGTCAATGTTATATTGTAAAATAACTCATACATGAATTGTTTTGTATGATATCAGTTACATAAGATTTTGAAGAATTTGATGAATTTTTTTATGGATTTATAAATATGTAGTAATATGTAGTACTTTCAGAAATGATTAGTACAAAAATATATAATGATTTTCTTTTGGGAAGAAAAGAATGAAATGACTTAAGCTTCAGTGATATCTGTTATGGTTAAATTATTAAAGATAATTTTAAAATTAAAAATTTAAATTGTAACAAACATGGAGTTGTGTTTATATTTGTTTAAACTGGTAGATCTCTGGATATTTGTTACTGCTAAATTTTAGTATTGTAGATTTGAATTATTTCATGATTTAAAAGAAAAAGGAATATTGATGTCTGAAACTTAAATTATAGAAATATTTGTTAGGAAAAATTATACATGATATTAATGAGGTGAAAGTTTTGAACAGTGGATTTTTTGTATTAGTGATAAAATATTTAATTATTTTCTTAATCTGAATAATATATACAATGAATTTTGCTAAGATAATTTTGGATGCAGGTTTTGCTAATAAAGTAAATCTTGTTTAGTTGTTTTGAAAAGGTGATATTCTTTACATACTCTCTTGTCTCAAGTTTGGCTAGAGGGATATCAAGGTCACCAAGAATAATTCAGAGGTTGCCAAGGACTTGTTTAAAAGTATTTTCAAGTCTGACCGAGAACTCTGACATTTAAAATAGATACCAAGATATTAATATTTAAAGTCATGTTTTCTTTTCAGGATTGATTTTAAAGAAACTCCTTCACACAGGAAACTCCTTAAAGGTATAATTACTTTGGCTTTAAAAACTAATTAAAATTTTAATGTATCTAATATGTACTATGTTATTTTTTTGTTTCTCTTGTATGTTCTTCCCTCAGGGTACAACCCCTGTTTTCACTGTATTTGATGTCAGTGCCCTGCATCTTGTATATACACTTTTCTAATTTGGGTAGGGGAAGGGAAATATCAGAATGCTGAAACAAAGATACAGGATGACCCATTGTAACAATGAGATGTACAAGACACTATGTAGAAAATGTACTTTACAACTTGGGGGGGAGGGGAGTTGGGGAGGTAGGGTACCAAGGGATGGTAGGGGAAAAACAAAGGTAACAATGCTAGATACTCATTACCTTACTCATGTAACTGTAACCCCTCTGTACAGTGCAATAAAAAACATTTTAAAAATCCAAACAAAGAGAAAAACCTCAGTAAAGCATTATGTGCCACCTGTTCCTCTTATCTCAGATTTTTTCCTAAAGATTGTGTTCAGTTCACTTACTTGAGTAAATTTCACTTAAAATATTGTTCCAAACTCAGTATGTATGAGCAGAGTACATAGTAAATTGGCCAAGACATTGTAAAACTATTACATATTGTCACTGCACTGGCTTATTCTCCACGAAAAAAAATCTTTCCTTTCTGTGGCAATCAGAATAAAATTAGTGTCATTCAACAAATTATTCTCTAATACCTTTTTTAGGTACATCAGGAATAGGAAATGTGTGTATAGTATATATGTTCATACATATCATAAAAATATATGTATTTGTGTGTGTATACATACATATATACATACATAGAAAATGCTGATTTTATGATGGGTATTGGTGGCTCATGCCTGTAACCCTAGCTATTCAGGAGACTGAGACCTGTGGATCAAGGTTCAGAGCCAGCTCATGCAGTAGTCAGTGAGACTCTTACCTCCAATTAACAAACAGAAATCTGGAAGTGGTGCTATGGCTCAAAGGTGGTGTAATGCACTAGCTTTGAGCAAAAACTGCTCAGGGACAGCACCCAGGCACTGAATTCAAGCCCTATGACCAACAAAAAGAAAAAAAAATGCTGATTTTATTTCTTTTTTCAGTTATTAATTTTCATTCAGTAAAGGAAGCTGCCTATTCTAAAGCACCTGGCTATATGCTAGGTAGAGTCACATATGTAATTTTGTTTGGGCGTAACTTATACAAAAGAGTAATGTTTTGGTAGTTAAATAGGTTGGACAGTGGTCATTAACAAAGTTCTCAAAGAGTAATTCCCAAAGCTACCAGTGAGGTTAAATTAGTAAAGAACTTAGTGCTTTGCTTGTCAGAGATTGGATTTTTCTCTTATCTCTCTTTTCTTGTTCTCCTGCTGGAGAACATTGACTTGACTCAAATATTTATTAATTTTTTATCTATGAGTTTTGTTTTAGGTGCTTAGCTATAATAATGGAGCAAAATTCCTGATTTGCAAATAAGAACCTGAGATAATTTCAGAGACCTTTAAAATAATTTTGTGATAGTAATATTAAACAATTATACTTTTTTAACAATTAAATTTTAACATTATTTAAATAAAATTTTGTAATTTTAATGATTTCAGAACTTTTTAAAGTTAGTAGCACTGAGTTTGCTGTATACTAATTATCTCTATAATCATTCTTTTTTGAACTCATTATGGCAAGAACAACCATTGCTTTGTATCTTTTTGCCTCTTAGATTATAGTGAAGGAAGATAGGGAATGAAAAGGCAGACAAGAGCGAAATGGTTTTCTGATTTTTTTTCAGAAATTATAGGAAAAATATTACAGGTTTTAAGGGGTTAGATACTAAGTTTATTCCTATTAAAAGTCCATGATATCACGTACTCGTGGCACATGCCTGTAATCCTAGCTACTCAGGAGGCTGAGATCTGAGGATCATGGTTTGAAGCCAGCTCAAGCAGGGAAGTCCATAAAACTTTTATTTCCAATTAACCACCAGAAACCAGGAGTGGTGTTGTGACTTACAGTGTTAGAGCTCTAGGCAAGTCCATGAATTTAGATTTCAGAATAGTGAAAGTTCAATAGATGTTCTAGGTGTAATATCTAACTCCATCTCCATCTCAAGCCCTACCCCCAGGCAAAGTTGCTTTGGAGTCTTTCTTTTGCAAAATATCATTTGTAATTTTCTGGAGAACTGTGTCCTTAAGAGGAAGAAAGTGTTTACATTAAGAAAAATACTGTTTTTCATTTTATTTTAGATTAGGCGGGAAGGTGTTCGTCTTTTCCTCTTATGGTTGCAAGCTCTTCAAAATAACTGTAGCAAAGAACAGCTCTGGATGTTTTCTTGCTTAATCCCTGGGTTTTCAGCACCACAATCTGAACTCGGACCTCGAACTTTAGATAATCTTATTAATCCTCCACTCAACCTTCAAGAAAGTAAGATTCATCAGATGTTATCTATAAGTATTTTGAAGTTTTCTGTAGTGTTCTTAATGTATAGCTATTAAATGGGTAGTCCAAGGCAGTATTTTAAATGTCCACCTTAGTTTATTTTGGTATGGTGATACCAGCTGTCAAACTGATGGAAACATAGTTTGTTACTCAGTTTCAAAGAAGAAGGGAGCATCTGATGTCATTGAGAGATATGTGGGGAAAATGAAGGCTATGTGGGAAAAGTATCAGGGTCTGTCAAAAGGCAGAGGGAAAGTAAGTAAATCTATACAAGAACTTTTATTTTGGTTTTTATGGGATGGAATGGCCAGCCAGGAGAACCACATTTGAAATTAGTTAATAGTTTTAATAATTTCAGTGAGTGTTAGGACTTAAGGTTGACTCTAGTTATCTGGTACTTAGGCAAGGAGTCTTAAGTGGACAGGAGTTGGTGGTGATTTGGGCTCTGAATGGGTTGATTTGCACATGAAAGGCACTGTCCCACTGTAGTCATTTTCTACTTCCTTGAAACGTCTATGACTGGGAATATCTAGTGGGCTTTACGGATATTTTAGAGTTTCACCAAACAAAGCATTTGTAAAGAATATTTTGTAGAAATGGAGTGGATTATGTGTTGCTTTAGAATTGAGATGAGATATGCCTCTGTTGTGAGCTTGCTTACTTGACTTTCTTCAGACAGATTTTGAGACACACATCTTTTAGGTACTGATTATGCTTCTTAGAAAATGCTTGAGAAAATTCATATATTCGAGGGTTGATTTTCTTATAAATTAAAAAAACCTGAAAAGTAAATGTAAGTTTCTTACAAGTGTAATCAGTGTAATAAGTACATTATCACTGCTTTTCATTTTATTGTGGCTTTTGTAATGTATTCTCTGAATGTGAATTTAAAATCACAAGTTCTAGCAAGGTGTTATTTATTCTTAATAATTGCCTATTTATCTCTATGTCATATTCTCTTAATCAAGAGTCCACAAAATAGCTGTTGAGGTTGGTCATTATAAGGAATTATTAGAATCACTTCAGATTTATTGATAAAATTTTTTGAATCACTTCTTGTATACATGTTTTACAATTAAATTTTATCTGGTTATGTTACTGTATTAATGAATTTGTTTTATACTACTATTCTTTTGTCTTTGGGTAGCTCAAGTCACTATAGAGGAAATCACTCCTCTTGTCCCCCCACAATCAGGAGATAAAGGACAAGAAGACCTCACAAGCTATTTTCTTGAAGCACTTTTAAAATATATTGTAATTCAGGTATGTGTTACCTTCTTTGATATCATTCTATGAGCAATTCCTTTTTCTGTCCAACGTGTTTAATTCTAAGTACATATTTGCTTATTTTCTTGGAGGATTGATAGTTTTACTTTTGCAAATACATGTTAGTGAAATGTTTAAGAGATTCTGTCTTCTGGTATGGTTCTAATCATATTATTTATTTTTAGGTAAAAAGTTTAGAATGGAAGAACAAAGAAAACCAAGAAAGAGGTTTTTCATTTTTGTTTTCACATTTTAAAAAATATTATTTGCCTTACATTTTTCCAAACATCTGCAAGGAGAACAGTTTATATCATCCAGTACTTGGTAGGTAGTATTTAGAATTTTCTAAACAATCACACATAAAGATTTTTTTAATCTTTCAATATAAAGTTGACATATATTTCAGAAAATTGTCCACATTTACTATTTATATTGAATTGTAGAGATACCATATCCAGATTTATATTGAAAGTGAATTTATATGAACTAGAGATTTTCATTGGGAATGAGAATTAACTTTTTTTTTTTCTCAAGCTAGGTGCTGGTGACCCACGCCTGTACTCTTAGCTACTCAGGAGGCTGAGATCTGAGAATCATGGTTCAAAGCCAGCCTGGGCAGAAAAATCCATGAGCCTCTTATCTCCAATTAACCACTCAGCAAACTGGAAGTGGCACTGTGGCTCAAGTGGTAAAGTGCTAGCCTTGAGCTGAAGAGCTGAGGGACAGCACTCAGGCCCAGAGTTCAAGCCCCACAACTTGACAGAAAGAAAGAAAGAAAAAGAAAGAAAGAAAGAAAATCTCTCTAGATCTCATTGATTCACCCATTTCTCTCAAATTAGCCCATTGGAAATATTTATGAGGCTGTATACAGGTGACTCATGACTGTAATCCTCAGGGGGCTGAAAACTGAGGATTGCTGTTTGAAACCAGCCCAGGCAGACAAATCTTGTGAGGCCCTGACCTTCAGTTAACCAGCAAAAAGCTGGAAGTGGAGCTGTGGCTAAGTTGTAGAACATCAGCCATGACTGAGGTAGAGTTTAAGTCCTAGGACTGGCAAAAGTGAAAGAGAGGAGGAGGAGGAGGAAGAGAGGGGAGAGGGAGGAAGAGAGAGGAAGAGATATTTGTGGCTTGTATACTTAACTGAATTCTATTTTTTGGTATG